GCATCTTTTAAGGGTTGTTCTGCAACACAGATTCTGGCGTAGCTGCAGAAGAACTGTAATGGAGATAATCAGGAAGATATCAAACCAACATAGGCTAGACCAGAGGGAACGTCATTAAAACACATTCAGGACTATGTTATTTTCCATTGCATTGACTTCATGTGTTGGCTTAGATGGAAATAAAAAGATAAAAAGAATAAAAAAATGAAGAATCAGATATACTGAAGATTTCTAACAATGCATTCATACAAGCAATTGTATACAGAGCTGCATTCATTAAAAACAATGTCACTTCCACTGTGGCAGCTCCTTGTTTTACTACCCCAGTACGCAGTATTTCAGTATTTAACCCCTTAAGGAGACAACTTCTGTAATAAAAGGGAATCATGGCGGAATATATCCGTCATGTGTCCTTAAGTGGTTAATGCAGTAAATAACACAGCAGGTATGAGTGAACATCTTACCTACCTCTTCTTCTGCACTTCCATATTGCAGCAACTCTGTCGTCATGCACGTATTTGCAATGGAGAGTTTGTCACATTCGCAAGCAGTGTGTGTAACCGCACTGCAAGCAGAAACTAATTTGCATACATAACTGCAGTTTGCCCAGCAAACTATGTGAAATAAAAGAAATTATAAAACATTTAATTTATTTTTTAAATATGAGCATATCCAATAGTTAACTTTTGGTTAGCTAATGGTTGAGCTAAAATTGAATCAAGTGATATTTCCCCCTTTAAGGCAACCAACTAGTCTTTACCGTGGGATATACTCACCAAAACAACACTGTGATAAGATGTACAGTGCTTTCGAAACTAACATCAGCACAACACAAAACTATTTAGTAAATTTTTTCTCTCCTTTACAATTGCTGTGAGAATCCAAGTTCAGTGTGAGTCACAGGTAGAGAAGTAGACTTCTTATTACTCCATTTTCGAATAATTTTTGTTTTCAACAAATTAGTAAAATACTTATATGCGAATAGAAGCGACTGAGTTTACTGAATTTACACAAATTTTGGAATCCCGGGCAGGACTTGTGTATTCTAGTACTGCTTTAAGATTCACAGATCCATAGCCCCAATCCTAGCCCTAACCCTAATCCCAACCCTCACCCAACTGCAGTTGTAAACCTCACTTTATTATATCTAATATACAGTTGTGCTCAAAAGTGTGCATATCCTTGGAGAATTGGTAATATACGTACCATTTTTAAAGAAAACATGAGTGAGCAGGCAAAACACATTTCTTTTATTCCTTATGGGATTCATATTCAACTGAAGGTTATAACAGAATAGCACATAAAACAAAACATGGCAACAAATTAAAAAAATGGAACGATCTCTGTTCAAAAGTCTGCATACTCTTAGTTCTTAAAGGGACACTATAGTCACCTGAACAACTTCAGCTTAATGAGGTTGTTCAGGTGAGAACTATAGCTCCCTGCAGCCTTTCTCATGTAAACATTGTATTTTCTGAGAAAATAGTGTTTACATTGAAAGCTAGGAACACCTCCAGTTGCAGTCACTCAGAATGAACCAGAGGGACTTCGGAGTTGATGGAGGCATAATATGTCTCCATCCACTCAGATCTGCTGTCAGCAGAGCACAGGGCAGCACTGTGCACAGCATCCTGTGATTCAGTGTCTCCTCCCTCTGCATGCAGACATTGAACTTTCCTCATTGAAATTCATTGATTCAATTCATCTCTATGAGGAGATGCTGATTGGCCAGGGCTGTGTTTGAATCATGCTGGCTCTGCCCCTGATCTGCCTCTTTGCCAGTCTCAGGAAATCCTATGGGGAAGCACTGTGATTGGATCAGGCTACCACATGTCAGCAGACTGATTGTTTTTCTGAGTCTAACAACATGCAGATTTACAGCTTCAGGATTGAATACAGTAAGATTTTGCTATATTTATGGAGGCATGAGGAATCCAGGGGGGCTAGATGGTGGTGTTAACACTATAGGGTCAGGAATACATGTTTGTGTTCCTGACCCTATAGTGATCCTTTAATAATGTGTATCGCCCCCTTTAGTATCAATGACAACATGCAGTCTTTTGTAATAGTTGTCTATGAGGTTCCTAATCCTTGCAGGTGGTATAGCTGTCCATTCTTCTTGGCAATATGCCTCCAAGTCATGCAAAGTCTTTGGTTGTCTTGCATGAACCACACGTTTGAGATCTCCCCAGAGTGATTAGATGATTTTAAGGTCAGGAGATTGTGATGACCACTCCAGAACCTTAATCTTTTTCTTCTGTTACCACTGTAGGGTCTACTTGGCCTTGCGCATAGGGTCATTATCATGCTGGAAAGTCCAAGAGTGTCCCATCCGCAGCCTTTTTGCAGAAGAATACAAAAATATGCTGCATTAATCTTGCCATCAATTTTCACAAGATTCCCTGTGCGTTTAGAGCTCGCGCCCCTCCCCCCAAACATTAGTGAGCCACCACCATGCTTCACAGTGGGGATGATATTCTTATCACTATAGGCCTTGTTGATCCCTCTCCAAACATACCACTTTTGGTTGTGACTCTAAAGTTCTATTTTTGTCTCGTCACTCCAAATTAAATTTTGCCAGAATCTGCGAGACGTGTCAAGGTGTTGTCGGGCAAATTGTAACCTGGCTTTTTTGTGGTATTGACAATATATAGGTACAAATAACATAAAAAGTGACAAAAAGGCCAATATATGAATAATACAATATATATTATATTTACAATAATTTATTTTTTCAAGTCTTTTCACTTTTTTGTATTATTCATATATTGGCTTGTTTTCACTTCTTAATGTTATTTGTACCTATATATTGTCCATACTGTTTTGGCGCAATCTTCTCTCCTCCTTTGTCTTGTTTCACTTACCTGTTGGGCTTAGAGGGAGCCCTGCCTACTTTAGGTGTGCTGCCTCATTTACAAATACTCTACATTTTGGTTTGGTTTTTACAGCGCTGATCCTTATACTGTTTGATTTTTGTGGCATTGGTGCAACTTTCTGGTCACTCAACCATTCAGCTCATTTTTGTTCAAGTATTGTCATATTGTGCTCCTTGAAACAACCACACTGTATTTTTCCAGAGAAGCCTGTATTTTTCCTTAGGTTACGAGTGTACGGGGGTGCATTGTGTTTGTGAAGGATGTAGTGTGTGTGTGAAGGATGCAGTGTGTGTGTGTCAGGGGTGCAGTATGTGTGTAAGTGGGGCAGTTTTTGCATGAGGGATACAGTGTGTGTGGGGGGGCAGTGTATGAGGGGTACTGTTTGTGTGTATTGGGCAGTGTGTGAGTATATGTATGGGGGTAATTGTGTGTATAGGGGGAGTTATTGTGGGTCTGTGGGGGTAGGAGGGCAGATAAATATATACTTTTATTTTTTTATTTTAGTTAATAAAAGTTTTTTAATTAAAAAAAAATGATCATTATTTTAATATGCACCATCTCTGCTTACCTTTGCCTGGAAGGGGGACAATCCCTGGTGGCCCCAGTGGGGAGAGTGAACTCTAGGAGCCTCAAGAGCTGCTAGAGTTCACTCTTGTGAGATTCGGAGCGTTGCTGTGGTAATCACGGCAACATTTCAAGCTCGCGAGAAAAGAACCCGGCGGAGCTGCAGGTTAAAGCTCCCCAGGTCCTCTCTTCCTCCCTCCCCTGCCAACTACAAGCATTACACTGCTAGCGGGCGGGGGAAGGAGATCTCTAATCTCCTCTCTGATCCTGCAGAGTCGGCCAGGTAGAGGGAGGCATGGTTCCCAGTGCTGTGATTTTTTAATTTTATTCTTTGCATAATTTTTTAATGCATTATCTTTAGAATGCATTCAAAAACTGGGATTAAATTTTTGAGACTCATTTTCCCTTAAAGCGAGACCAGGATTGTATGCCCTTTATTACAATGTTATCACTTCTTTCCCTGAACTAGAGATCCCAATTAACCTTGTTACCACCGAGCGACTGAAAGGTGACACTGTGAATAGGACAAGTCTATGACATTCTAAACATGTCCATCTTAATAACTGGATATTGTTGTAGTTTTCTGACAGGGAGCAAAAATAAATATCAACTTATGTCAGACAAGTGGTAGAAAACAGTTACCAGGTGAGGCAGTTGGAATTTAATATATACTTGTAACACAATCATCCTATTAAAATGCAAGTAGATTTGTTTGTGAAAATAATGTAACCACAAACTTGAGTGTTTAGTCACAAACCAGTGATTTTTGTTAATTTGAAATTGAGGTTTGTGCATTGCAAAAAAATCAGTTCATCTGCATTAGTTGTTTTTTTTTGTCAATCTTTATTTTTAGCATAGTAGGTGTGCAATGATTAACAATCATGGTAACAATAACACATCAAGTCAGTTGTACAAAATAGGAGAATTCGATAAAGTAATACGTGACATGTGTAGAATATGCACTATTTTTGCTATAGGAAAAAGAATAAAAATATTCAGACAGATGTGTCAAAGGCATTCATGTAGCTAGTGAAACAGGTGAACTAGGTCAGCAGACCACAAAGCGTGTGACTGATGTTTCAGATAGCATTACTAAGTAAAGGCATAATGCCACTATTTTGAACACACTGAGTTGGGTTAGCTAAATAAACCAATGGTACCCACCAATATAGTAGGCAGAAAATGTAAACAAATAACATTACCATCTGCCCAGAATGAGCAGAGAGGCCAATGTAATGGAGTGTAGATGGAACCCTGGGCCTCTATATTAGTTAGGATGCTCAACCTATGCCCACCAGACAAAACTGTGTACCCGGCAGGATTATAATATTGAAGAGCTATGAGTATTGCCCCAACAGTCCCAAGTTTTAACACAGTCTGGTGCACGTTGCCCACAGGTCAGACTGCTTACTGGGACTCGAAAATGTACCCCATGAGTCCTGACCTCCGAAGGGTGTGAGCCATGCAGATGGAGTAGTCTCCAGTTGGACTGTGGCCTATGTGGGTGTCACCTGACTGTAGGAGTGAGCCGCCTGTGATGAAGTGTTCGTAGCTACGTACTTTGTTGCTTCCTAGCCTTGGCGCCAGGGCAGGGTGTAAAAGCAGGCTTTGGGTCGAGGATTCGAGGATCGAGGGTTCCACCAGGGTTCAGACGTAGGGAGCCTTCCCGCTCAATACAGCTCTCTCCCCTTTGAGTGATTGTAGCCCATAATTGCATCCATAGGCATTCAAAGGCCTGCTCGATTCGCACCTCCTGGAGGACCCAGGATGTTGCTGTGCATTTGAATCATTTAACCTGAACTAAAAGGGCCTAAAATGTATGCCATTTGGTTCACAGATTAGTGAGAAGAAATAACCAATAGAGGTAAAAAAATTATAAACAGTTGAATAAAATCTATATTTATATATTATATGTTTAAATATATAACAGATAAATGTAATTTTATTTTTATCGGTTCTATAGTTAAATTGCAAAAATTCTCCAAGTTACCTTTGTTTAACGTTTGGCTATATTTGCTTAAAGATTTAAAATTCAATTTTGAATTCACTTCACTTTGCCAACAGTTAATGCTTTAGTCAGAGAGGGGGGAGCAGTGTTAGTATTACATTAGCAGGCCAGACATTGATAAAGATTGCTTTAGCAGTTTTAAATACCTTTATTTTGGAAATTGATTTTAACTGTATTTACTGTATACGAGCAATATATTCAATGTCCTTGCAAATACCTGTAAGCAAAGTTGTAACTATTTTTATTTTTATATTTTTGTCACACCTACTGTATGTGAGAACAAATGCATTCTTGCTTTTATACTAACATTTCAGACACTGTGTGAAATACTGCAATATAAAGGACACTTTATACTGTTTATGCTTCCAAGTTCCTGTATATATTTTTTATAATGGATCAACGAATAAGTAAAAAATTAAAAATGGTGTAAATTAACATATTTTTAATTTTTAAATATCTCTGCAAAGCAATCTACACACAAAGCTGTTGTGTTATTATATGTTAATGTGTTATCCATGCATTCCTTGCTTCAAATAAATGTTATGCTAATATTTTTTTCCATCTTAAAGTTTTTGGTAATGACGGGACTAATGGTTTAGTAAATTGTGAGAGAAAGAAAATGCAACATTTTGAAGTATTTGGCAAATTAATATGCTAGGCACAATTTAATAGCTAAAGGGACACTATAGTTACCAGAAAAACTACATTTTATTGTATTTGTTTTGGTGAGTAGAATCATTTCCTTCAGGCTTTTTGTAATAAACACTGTCTTTTCAGAGAAAATGCAGTGTTTACATTACAGCCCAGTAATAACTCCACTGGCCACTCCTCAGATGGCTATTAGAGGTGCTTCCTGGGGCAGTGTTGCACAGTGTGACTGTCATTCAGTGTCTCCACCCTCTGCAAGCAGACACTGAACTTTACTCATAGAGATGCATTGATTCAAAACATCTCTATTAGGGGATGCTGATTGGCCAGGGCTGTGTTTGACATGTGCTGGCTCTGCCACTGATTTGCTCCTTGACAGTCTCAGCCAATCCTATGGGAAAGCATTGTGATTGGCTCACAGAATCACTTCTGATGATGTCAGGCATGGAGGTCAGGGGCAGAGGCAGCAGCTGTAGACTTGAATAGAAGTAAGATATTACTATATTTAGGGAGGCAAGAGGGGACGGGGTGGTTAGATGGTGATTTTAACACTATAGGGTCAGGAATACATGTTTGTGTTAATGACCCTATGGTGTTCCTTTAGCTACCTCAGAAATATGAAATAAATAAATTAAGTATATCATTTTGGCAGTGTCAATCATAAATTGATGCTACTAATTATGAAATAAAAAAATATATACATTTATATTGTTTTTTTTTTTTTAAATGCAATAAGAAAAACTGGGATTTTTTTCCTTCTAAAAGTTGAATTATGTAGACTGATTCATTAAAATAAAATAGAAATTGCAAATTTAGGCCAGAATAGTCAAACATGAAACCTTTTCCTATTTTTCCTATTTCTGACAAGTGAAATGTAATTTTACATATATACTGTGTTCATTTGAAAATCAAATTGCAAAATTTAGACAAAAATAGGCAAGCTGTTACTATAGCAGAGCTGTAGGATTTTATTTTTAAAATCGGATAATTTTGCCTATAATTTGCAATTCGGTTTTCAATTCTCCTCAGTGTTTAGTGAATAAGCCCCATAGATGACGGATGGCATAAAACTTGCTCAATAGATATAAACCTTGCAGTATGGATAATAAAAACTCTCCTGAAAAGTGGATGTACAAGTTTCTTCCTTTCCGTAGCAATAAGAAAGATCCATTTCTGGTTCAATAAAACTTATTTTCCAGACTTATGATTATGTTTTTTTTTTTTGCTGAACGTTTTCCGAAATGATCTCGATAAAGGTGCAGTAAAGTTGTTTCATTTTATTCAATCTTCCGTCTTACATGAAAGTAGGTTTAAATTGTGATGCACGGCTTTATATTTTTGGTCTCACCTTTTGCACATCTTCTGAAACTTTGCAAATTTGTTTATCACATGCTTTCATAGATTTGATGTTTTTTTTCTTGCACATTTCACAACCTTTGATCCACAGTAAACATTTTACCTGGTACATTTTGTTTTTCTTTTTACAGAGTCGATTAATTTAATGTTGGCGTTAGAAATGACACGACACAGATCGCGGGGCACGGGAGGCATCAGAAATATCATAAGAAAATTGGAGATTACGCTATCTTAAGCAACCTTGAATCGAGAATAACCAGCTATTAACATTGCAAAAAAAATAAAAATATTGTTTGAGCAGCCCAATTTACAGCCTGCTATTCATGAATATTTAAGAGTCTGTAGGCATTTATTACCTGCTTACAGTGCAGTAACACAATCTAATGCTGAAAATTGCCTAGAAGATTTTAGCATTTAGTGCTTTTATAAACTGCAGAACATGCTTTATTATAAAGGGATTTAAGTAGAAAAGCTGCAATAGTTTATAAAACTGCAATAAGTCTGCATTGTTGTCACTGATAAATGAGATTACAGATGTTAATCTGCAGTGCTACTTTGTAATAATGTAGTATTATTATGGAAACTATCAAAACAGCCTTAAAGGGAAAAAAAAACCTGTGAATTAATCTCTCCTCATTTCTTTGTTGTGTAGCAAAGAGAAAGTTAGTAATATAAAACATTGCATGTTGTATTCAATAGTGGTACTGTTATGTCTTTTGATGGGGACCCAGGCCAGTTAGGGGCCGCACCTTGCAAAATCGCTATTTAGTAAATTTGCGGGAGTGGCGAATGATAAGTGCTCATAGTCCTGGCTATCAAAGAATGAGTCAGAGCTCTGTCACACGAGTGACAGCAAATTAACACAATCAGTGAGTGCTTGACAACACGCTCTGCCATGGACCACCATTGATCATATCCCAACTGGACCACAAAGCATTGTACCCTGCAAGAAGTAAAGCAGGAGTAGAGTATATATATATTATTGGTGTTATATTACACAAAAAGACAACCACACTCATACAACCCCACACACAATCACACTCACATAACTCCACACAAAATGAGACCTCCATATGCACAATTACACTCAGACAACTCCACAGACAGTCAAACTCAGCCATCTCCTACACACAGCCAACCCCCACTCAGGTCACCCTCCATCATACTCTGTGAATCTCACCCTCAATTACACTCAGCCAACTTCAAACTCAATCACACTTAGTCAACCCCATGTACAATCGCAGACAGCCCACACACACATCCCACTGAGCCAACCTCCCCAAACATAATCACACTTGGCAAACTCCAGACATACATATCACACTCAACCAGCCCCAATGCAATCACACACATCCACAACACACCCCTCATTCAGATGTATAGCTTATGGGGAAGCAAGGAGCGGCAACGAGGGAGGCCCTACTTTAAGTCTTTCTCCTGTGGCCCACCGGTTACTTGCTATATTATTAATAATACTATTTACATAAGCCTTAATGCACATGCAGTCAATTTAGTATAACACTGTCTTTATTTGACTAAGGTTGATTAGAGACATTATCTTAAAACAGCCAAGAGGCAGCATGAAGATATAACAATAGGCAGTATACGAAACCTATGGGGAACGTCAGAATACAAACGTCCTTAGAATTTTGACAGTGTAGAGGAACTTTTGAACTTTTGTATTGAATAATCCTGCATAAAATAGAAGCTAGGCTAGATCTAAAATGAGACACCGAAAACCAAAAATGTTCCAGGGTGACTTTCCATAAATTAAGACTTTCAGGTGACAAGGGACATTCATTAATTCATTCTCTTTAGGCAATATTAATAAAAAAGTAAAGAAATAATTTTCTTAGGTATCAGAAACAACTTCTTTTTAAGTTTATCCGGGCTGATTGAAATGTATATATATATATATGTTTCCCTTTTTTTCTTAACTATACATGTTTGGGAAATTCTACCTTGATGATGTTTTATTTGCACTAATAAACAATCAAATGATATTTTTATATGACTGCATTGTAAAACACGACTCTTATATTCTGGCTCTTGTTTAAAGGACACTGCACCTTTTATTTCACAATTAGTCAAGAGAACACCATGAAAGTAAACTTTATCATTAAAGTAAAAAAGAAATAGCCAATGATTTATTGCTTACTACAGCACTTACTAATTACATTGTGCATATTTCATTCTTTATGAAGATATTTTTATTAACTTAACTCTCCTTGGTAGGCTGGTATTGTTCATCTCCTTTCTTAATGCAAAGCACACATAAAGCATTTCTTTGACAGTACACGAAAGGACAAGAACAGAACATGAATCAAATAAGAATGAGGTCACCTAAAGCATTTAAGAGATTGCTAAGAGTTTGAGAGACATTGCAAGGAATCAACATATATTTCAATCCTAAAATAAAGATAGAAATAGGAGTGGGATGGCAGACAGGTGGAGAAGACATATGTAGATATTTATAAAAAGACAGATGTGCAGTGGGATAGATTACGATCCTTACGTCGTATCTCAAATCAAGTCACCAAACATCAGCTAGAACAGTAACTTGCAACTTGTAACGAACTCTCTCATAACTCTACCAGTTACATGATACAACTTTGTTTTATACTTTACAGTCCAAGGATCACTGTTTCAATTACAACTTTAAAGTGATTCCCAATTAATGTATTTTAATAAATATAGAGGCTGTG